AAGCAGTTGTATTTGCAGTCCTGAGTTTTATCTTACTCTCATAACCAATACTTCCAAGTCAAGTCTGTCCAGGGTTCAGTGGAGCCAAGAGGTGGGGCTCCTTGTTCACGTCTTTTCGGATTCTATTGTAAATTGTAGGCCCAATGCTCTGTTGAAATAATCTCAGTTTTTCAAAATGTTGTCCAAATTTTTATTTACTAATGAGGTCTTTATTTCATGTTTTGAAGTGTGTTTCCAATTTATTCCTTTATTTTCTGAGCAGTTTTGGCAAAGAAGTAGATAAACGAATATGGCAATCTAGCAAAATTTGCAAACTTTTTTCCAATTCATATTTTTATTCTTTTTTTTTTTTTTTTGGTACCGGGGATCGAACTCCAGTCCTTGCGCTTGCGCAGCAGGCGGCAAAACCACCGAGCTAAATCCCCGACCCCCATATTTTTCTTAACTTTATTGTACAACTGTGATGGTTGCTTCTAATGTCAATTTGACTGGGCCACTGGGGAGCCCAGATAGTCAGTTAAACATTATTCTAGGTGTTTTTGTGAGGGTGTTTCTGGAGAAATGTGATATTTCAATCAGTGGATTGAGTAAAACAGCCTTCCTAATGTGACATAACCTCATCTAATCAGTTGAAGTCGCGAAATAAACTGGAATTCCTCCTACCAGCCTGCGTTTAAGCTAGGACATCAGATTTTTTTCCCTGCCTTTAGATTTGAGCTAAAACTTTGGCTCCCGGTAGATTTCAAGCCTACTGACCTTCAGAACAACCCTATCAGCTCTCCTGGTTCTCAGGACTTTTAACTGGAATGTGGACTGGGGTAACACCACTGGTCCTGGATCTCCAGCTTTCAGAATTTGTCAGTTACCATAATTGTGTGAAGTAATCCCTTACAATAGATTTTATATATGTTTCCTACATACACATATAAACATATTTCTCTGTGTGTGTGTGTGTGTGTGTATCCCAGGGGTTCTGTTTCTCAGAACAATTTCTCATTGACCAATATTTCTCACGTTAAGCCCAGGCTAAAACAAATAAATATGGCCCCCAACTAAAATGTACAAATATTGAGGAAAAAGTACACTGGTCAGGATGTATAACTCAAGGATAAAAGCTACAATGGTATGAGGAAGAACTAAACACTATGCTTTTTCTACTAATTGCAGTCTCTTCTACAGGCTCCCTATTATGGTTTCAATGTTTGTGTCTCTCCAAAATCCAGATGTTGAAACTCTAACCCCCAATATGATGATATTTGGAGATGTGGCCCTTGAGAGGTACACAGAGACAAATGAAGTTATGAAGGTGGAGCCCCATTCTGATGGGATTAGTGTCGTTACAATTAGAGATGCCAGAAAGCTTACTCACTTGTGTTCTTGTGCTCTCTCTCTCTCTCTACACACACAAAGAATGAACCACTTGAGGTTCAGTGATTTAGCTCAGTGGTGCTATACCTGCCTTGCAAGTACAAGGTCCTGAGTTCAATCCCCAGTACCACGAAAAAAAAAAAAAAAGAAAGAAAAAGAAAGAATGAACCATTTGAGCACTCAAAGAGTTACCATCTGCCACAGGCCAAGATGTCTCAAAAGAAAACCTATGTAGCCAGTGCCTTGATCTTGGACTTCTCAGAACCATCCATTTGTAGTATTTCTGTTATAGCAGCCAAGCAGTTTAAAACACTCCCACTAACATCTAACTTCTGGTTTGTGAAGCTGCATAAACAAAGACGGACTATACCAAGACTTGACTGCAGTGATGTCTGTTTTATTATTTTGTTTGTTGTTTCACCGACATTTTTTCCATCTACCCAATACACTTTCTGATGTCTTTCTTTTCTGGTAAGTTCACCTGAGTCATCAGCTTCCCTCACAGCCATGGTTAAGCAGAGGGCAGGCAGGTAGAGTGGAGCACACAGCTCCGATCCTACCACTCATACTGCATCATTCCTTGGCATATCACAACTGGCCCTTCAAGTTCTGCCTTTCAGTCTTTTTCTAAGACATCTGAATTTCTCGCTAGAAGAACAACAATCCTACCAACTTTGAATGCACTGAGAAAATGGGAGGTTTGTCCTCCTCTGCTATAAGTGTAAAGGTCTGTGAACAGAAGGAAATAAAGCCAAGAGAGAAGCACCAAGGGAAGAGAAGGGAGAAGACACAAAGGACCATTATCTGAGATTCCAGATTCCAAAGGTTTTTGTTTTATCTGATCTCCTAGGATTGGAAACAATAAATTTCTCTTTATTCTTTAATCTAGTCTTGGTTGAGTTTTTGACAGATTTAAAAGTACTAACTCAAACAACAGAGCAAAATTTTACATATTCAAAAAAATCATATAATCACATACTACAGCTTCAGAAGTACGAAAGTATACTCATCAAGCAAACAGAATTAAGGACTATGCCTAAAGAAAAATACAGCATTACCAAACAATATTCAAGCCAACAATGTAAGATTATAATATAAACTACAAAAAGGGAAATACTGTATATGTATATATAAATTGAGTAAAAAATATTTTTAAAATATAAATGTAATGTTAGGGAACTTATTGAAATAAACTAAGACATCAAAAGATCAAAAGAAAATAGTAATTGTCTCAATTGCTATCAAAACACTACTGACAAAATTTCAAATCCATTCTTCTTTCATTCTTTTTAATCAGAATTAAAAAGATATTCGATTTAAATAATAAATATTATGCATCTCATGGCAACAGCCAAAATTACATATAATCTTGGAAAGCTATGTATATTTTCAGTTGTGTTAAGGGCATGACAAATACATACACTACTATCTTTATTATTCAATACTATTCTGAAAATTCTATCATTGCAATTATACAAATACAATAAGTCCAAATAGTAAATATCAGAAAGGAAATTAACTCTCTTCATTTACAGATGATGAATATTTACCAGAAAATGCTAATATAATCAACACAAAAATATCTATCACTAAACACATAGCCAGTAACAAAAAATAAATATATATACACACAAATAACTTTTTAAAAATACCAACAGTAACCCATCAGAAATATAAACAAAATAGCTTTTCTTATAAATAAAAAAGTAGAAAACACTAACAAATTAGAAAAATAAGAGGAAGGGTGCCTATTCATAACAAGTAAAAATGTAAAATAACTAGGCATAAAACTAATCAAAAATTAAAATGGACCTTTATTAACTGCACTTTTAAAACAAGACCCCAAAAAATGGAGAGACATACCATGTTCTTCTATGGGTGACTCAATAATGTAAAGATGTCATTTTTCCCCATAATAAATGTGTAAATTTAATGTCATCCCAACCAAAATTCCAAAGCGCCTTTTAAAATTGTTTTGCACCTTGACAAAATGATCTCAAGTTCATCTGAAATGATAAATAAATGAAAATAGCCAAGAAAGCTATGAAAAAAGAATACGGGGGCATTTGTATCACTGGATATTAAAAATATATTATAAAATCATTCAAACTAAAACGAAGGCAGAACTGACACATAAGCAGTCAGACAACTCAATGGATATAAGAATAATGATCTTATACTATTCTGAAGAAAGTCTATCAAACATGTAGTTTATGTATATGTAATATGAAGGTGAAAATCATAAAAGAAAGGAATAAAGGATCTGAGTGCATAAAAATGCAAACATGGCAAAAAGTGTAAGACGCAAGCAATAAACTGGGCAAGTGTGTGTGTGTGTGTGTGTGTGTGTACATTACACATGGCATAACCAGGCAATTTTTAAATCAACAAAAACATCACAAGGCAAATCACGAGAAATGAATTTATATTATAAGGCAAAGAAATTCAATACCACTAATAATTAAGAAAGTAAAATTTTAAAAATCACCACTGAAAGCTTTAAAATGGCTAAATTTTAACTATGGTATGGAGAACTTAAAATACTTTATATATAACTGTTGGTAGGGAAACTAATCAAAAACCTTTCCAGGGCCAGGGATTTAGCTCAGTGGTTCCGCCGCATGCCTCGCAAGCGCAAGGTCCCAAGTTCAACCCCCGGTACCTCCCCCCCCCCCCGCCAAAAAAAACCTTTCCAAAGAGAAATCTGGCAAAACTTTACCTAAAACCTTAAAAGTATATACACTATTACAGTAGTTTAACCTTAGAATACAATTAGAATGTCCTGAAATTTTTATTTATAAATGCAGCATTGTTTATAATAGCTGCAATAATCAAGTTTACTTGCAATGACAGACACAAAAATATATGGGGGGGTTTTTAAGAAGTGAAGAACAGAACTAGAAATGGAGACTTAGTAGATACTGAAATAACTTGAGAGTTCACTCATCTGTATGTAACAGGCTACAGTTTGTTCTCTCAGTCTCTCTCCCTCTCCCCCTCCCTCTATAATATTCTATGTAAATTGTCTTCAACTTACTCTAGGATTCTGCTGCCTCATCTCTTATATATGGCTTAAGCTTGCCACAGCCTTTCAGTGTAGCACCTTATTCATTAATTAACTTTCTTAATTATATTAACTATATATTCTCCTCAAGAGGAATTTGGCCCAGGTTATTTTCTCATATGTAATCACTGGTATAAATCATGGGCTGGCTAACTCTAGGCTCACATCTGATCCAAACAGCTGTGGTCAGCATGGCAAGCAGCAGGGGAAGGGCAGAAAGGGTGACATTTCTGGTACAGAGGGACACACAAACAGTCACATACACACTCAAAATCCTGGAAATCACTTAGTTGTCCCAATAATAGCAAACTGGCTAATAAATTTAGGTAGGGGAAAGAAACATGCACAGTATACTGCAAAATGGAAAATAGTTATATGATCCCAATGGAAAAAAATACAAACGGTTAATTATAGTTGTTCTTAATTATCTTCTTGGTGACTTTGTATTTTCTAAAATGTTTATAACAAACATAGATTTCTCTGATAATTAGAAATTAGTGGCCACTTACTTTGCATAATGATTTTTAATTTTTTTTCATTTTACTTTATAAGAAAATATTTTGATTACCTTTCCAACATCACATTTTGTGCCTTCATTTACCATTCCTGGATCTGGAACATCTGATCCTAGCTGGAAATCCACACCCCAACATTTTGTGCCTCGGCTAGGTGTCTGAATAATAGCAGGCACAATTCCAAATACAGGCATTTCTTGCACATTCTCACACTGAAGCTTTCCACACAAAGCATTCCTATAAAATGAAATAAATAATATGAATATAAAATAAAACCATATATATAAAAAAGAAAAATCACATGTTACATTGTATGTGCAAAATGTTTGCTGCTATTTGGCTGAAGGGAATCTGAAAAAAGAAAATATATGAGAGCAATAGAGGTCAAAACAGCTCTTTATAGTGAAGAAATGAAGAGCTAAATGGATGCAAATTATTAGGGAACCAGCTGGTACTAATGCACCTTCTTTTCCCATTCCTAAACCCTTTTCACTACCTACCTAGAGCTTAAAATTGTCTACTAAAGTTGTTTACAAATATGATTTTATAAATGCTACTACACAGGAAATATAGCAATACAAAATACAATCATTTTTCATGAAACAAGGAAGCTCCCTTCTAAACATGTTCTAAGGGTTAGGAATATGTCTCAGAGGTAAGGCACTTGCCTAGCATGTTCAAGGCCACGGGTTCAATCCCCGGCATTAAAACATACACACATATTCCAGTTTGCCTCACTGCCACTTGAAGCAATATCAAAATTCAATCATAGCTTCTTAAAGAGTTACAGTAAGGATTATATTTTGTAATATAAGTAAGAAAGGACCCTAGCCCTCATTGCCTGGCTAGCTCTTAGTTTGTTACCTAGAGACTCAATGCATTAACTCATTAATTCACTAATTAAACATTAGGACTCTATAAAGGCTTCCTGACTGAAATGTCTCTAAGGTCACGTGAGATAAATGCCTTTTCTACATCATCTGTGTTATTGTTTAGATCTACAATGTCTCCCCAAAATCTCACGTATTTAGAGATGGGGCTTTTAGAAGGTGATTGGATCAGGGAGTGCTATACTCATCAGTGGACTGATCTATTGATGAGTTTATAGCTAACTGTACTGTTAAGAGGAAGGGTCTGGTTGGAAGAGGTGTGTCACTAGAGGCATCTCTTTCTGCTTCCTAGCTGCCAAGAAGTGCATAGCTTTCCTCCACTATGCCCTTCCATCATGTTTTTGCCTTAGAGCCAGCTGACCGTAAACTGAATCCCCTAAATTGTACGCCAAATTAAATCTCTCCTCTTTTAATGTGTGTGTGTGTGTGTGTGTGTGTGTGTGTGTGAAATAGTATGTCTCAGTAACTAGAAAGATAACTACCACAAAAATTGGTACCAGAGAAGTGGGATCATTGGTATGACTTCCTAACCATAAGGTGTGGAAGCCTTTGGAACTGGTTTGTGGAAAGGGTTCAGAAAGTTTTGAAGACACAGGTTAGAGAAGCCCTACAATGTTATAAACCGAGCTTAATAGAAGATTCTAGTTGAAGCTCAGAGACCAGAATGCTGATCAGAATGTGGACAGTAAAGGCCAGGGTCAGGAAGTTTCCAGTGGAAACAAAGACTCCACTGGCAGTTGCACGAGGAACTATGTGTGTTACACTCTGGCAGAAAATTTATCTACATTTTACCCATGTCCTGAGACTTTGAGGAGACCAAGATTAAGAGTAGTGGACTAATTAATCTGGCAAGGAAAATTTTAAGGTGCCCCAACAGGCCACTGTGGTACAGGTACTGCTAGATGCGTTTTGCCTCACTGGGGTCAAAAGACAGAGTAGAAAATTTTGAAAACTTAAATTTCAACCAAGAAGAAATCATGTATAAAATTGGGGGGCAAAAGAGGTATGACTACTTAAGAAATCAGCACCATTTTTTTTTTTTTTAAAAAAGGAACCAAGTATTGTGTACGGGGACAAGAAAGATGCCTTGAGGGCATCCCAGAAATCAGCAAGAAGGAAATAAAACAAAAATTTAAGGAAATATCTCTGGAAGGTAAAACTATATATGATTTCTTTCTCTAGACTTTCTTACATTTTATGCATTTTCTATGACAAGGATGATAAAGATGACAATGATGATAACAACAACAACAAAGATTACATTAAACCAGGTACTGTTTGTTCCTTTTTTTTGCCAAGTATTTTAGAGCTTTAATGAAGTATTGCATCGATGTAATTAGCTCTTACCTACCCCAAAACACCATATATATGTTTATATGCATATGTATATATATATATATATATTTTTTTTTTTTAATTTTACCTTCACCAGAGTTCTTTTTTTCTGGCTAGATGCCAGAAAGATTAACCAATGCTGGCTTTCTGTATAAGCAGTAATTTGGGTCTTTTGTTTCCTCCAGTATGACAGTGGCATTTTTATAGTTCACAAAAGGCAATATAAAGAAATACCTGAGTCACGCAGAACACACCGAATCAGTCCGCCCCCAGCAGCAATCCACTGGACACCCCCCTCCCCGCTCCTCTATACGGCCATCTGGTTCCACACTACAAAGACGCAGAGGACACTGGATCAAGAGACCACAGTACGGAGTCCCACCGCTCCTGCTCCCAGCCCAGAGGCAGGGGCTTCTGAGCCACCATCCCACTGCTCCTGGTCCAGAGGAAGGGGCTTCCCAGCCACCATCCCTCCCGCTGCTCCCAGCCCACAGGAAAGGGTGTTGGGGCCACCAACCCTACCGTTGTGCCCGGCCCCTGTCCCAC